TGCAATGAGCGACGGTGCCCACCCCCCTGGGGGGGGAGGGGACACGACCTTCATTTAGTCCTGGGGGAATCGGGGAACTCGGGGCCTCTTTGGAGTTTCCTATGTACAAAAAAGAAAAGCTGCAACAGAAAATATAGATCATCTCTCTTGTTCTCTGTACAGGCCTGGGGAGGGGGGTGAAAAGGAGGAAAAGGAATCTCCTTTTTTTAAAAAAAAAACAACATGGATCATTATCAAGGGGAACAACCCCGAGTTGGGAGGGATGGGCAGGAGCACCAGCCCTGGGGGGTCCCTCCCTTCATCCCATCCTCTTCCTCCTCCAACACTGCCTGGCTCTTGTCTCCTTCCCCCTTCCCCCACCACCTTCTTCCATTAAAAATGAGGCAGAATTCCCAGCTGGAGCTCGGGAAGCAGCTCCCACCTCAGCCATAAGGGTCCCTGGGGGGGTTTTTTGGGGGGTGCCAGGGCAGGATGTGCAGCTTCTGGGCAGCAGCTCCGTGGCTGAGGGGGTGGCTGGACCCCCCTCCTCGCTCCCTGCTGGGACAGGAATGGTTTTCAAACACTTCTGCCAAGTGGAGGGAAGGGCTGGGAGACCCTCAGCAACTTCCCAGCCCAGATCCCAGTGGATCCCAGTGGATCCAACCAGGGGATGTCACCCTTCCCTAGGGAGGAGGGCGGGAAACTGCTGCCCTGAAGCCTGGAGACCAAACCCAGAGAGGAGAACCCGACCCCAAAAAGGGGAGGGGAGGGGTCCCAGCTCAGCTCCAGAGAAGAGGAGCCAGTCCCTGGAATGTCCCCGTGGTGGGAAGAGGGAAGAGGAGCCCCGGGAAGGGCTCAGTCCAGGGAGATGACGTCGGGGCGGGCGGGCAGGGCCGGGCTGTGCCCGTGGCTCTGGCGCAGGGTCCCGGGGGACACGATGCTGCTGATCCTGTGGGTCCCCCCCATGGGGGGGCCCAGGGGGCTGACGTTCAGGAAGTGGTTGGATGTGCCCCTGTACTGGAAGAAAGGGCCCAGGGTGTCCTGCTCGTCCAGGGAGGTGATGACCGAGGGGCTGTAGTGCTGCTGAGGGAAGGGAGAACAAGCTGGGTCAGATCCCAGCCCCAAATCCTGTGGGATCAATGGACCAGTTTCCCCAAGAGCTCAACCCATCAACAAACCCAGGGCACTCCAAGGGTGAGGGAGGCAGAGCCACGAACAGCCCAGCACAGAGAGAGGAGCTGGAACCACCAGGAACCACATCCCTGTCCTGAGCTGCTGGCAGGGCC